CACAGCGTGCCCAAACCAGGTTTTACCCATCCAGTTAAATAAAAAGTGGAGAACCCGAGACTTCTGCCACGTCACCACGTTCATGCAGCTCCAAAGAAAGTTGTCAGACAACCTGATAGTATATTTGATGTATGCTTCTTCAGTTAAACAGGCTTTTATATTTGTCTTTTTCTATGCTATCTTCAGTAAATCTGTGATCGTCACATGTGTGAAAGAGTTGCAGTGTAACCTCTGTGAACGGTCACTTTCACATGGTTTGAATAAACTTGATGGCCTCTTTCCTCCTGCAGCAGAAAACCGATGGAACGGCTCGGCTTGCAATGCAAATTATTCAGCGTGCTGAGGGAATAAGGGTACTGCAGATGCTGGACTGATATTGTTTTGACAAGTGGATTACTGTTGTAATAACATCAGACTGGTGCTGGTAATGCAGACTGCCAGCACACACTGTTCTCTAGCCTGTGCAAGAGTCTGTGCTGTACACTGTGTTCTGGAGCCTCTGAACTTGGATGGATTCTGGGGTTCAGTCAGGATAGGCCTCCCATGCCTCTTTTTTTCTCTTATTTAACCACCACACACACACACACACACACACACACAGACACACACACACACACACACACACTTACTTCCTTCCTCCCTTCTCAACTCCTCCTTTGGCTTCCTTCCTCCCTGACGTTTAGAGGAGAGGCCATTAACTGCAGCCACTGTACTTCTGCTGTAAAAACATCCCTGCCTGTGCTTCAGAAGACAGCTTTGAGTCAGGCATCTGGTTTGTGTGGCTTTTACAACAGCAGAAAGGCAGAGTCTGTGATATTTATCTGGCAGGCTCACACAAAGGCCTGGATGACTTCGGTTTCCCAGAATGCTGTTCTCTGAATGAAAGCTTCCCTCAGTCTTACTTCCTGTGGCTGCTATGGTACGCACACAGGCACAGGCCCAAATCAGATGTTGAGCCTGGCAATGTAACGTCTTGTATATGGGAACATGAGTGGTCTTTGCTCAACCAGTGGATGAGAGACATTTATGGTCTCCAGTAGATGAATCCTTTTAGTAATAATCTAGCACCATCAGCACTAAATGTGCTCAAAATTCAGACACTGAGGCTACGTCCACGCTACTCCAGAGTTTTCGAGACTTTAGGAAACGCTGCTGGACCCGTTTAATTTTGAAAACTCTCAAAAATTGAGACCTTTGGAAACGATGGCGTAGACACCCGAGCTCCGTGATTGGGTATTAACAGCCTTGACGACAAGTGGTGAATACCACATGGATAATGAAATACAAGTGTTACTGACCTTGTTGTCTTTGCTAGCAGCTGTTGAGAAGTTAAATTCTGCATTTTAATGCTGAAAATGTCTTCACTATTCTTCGTTCGTAGTATTTTGTGCGACTAATCAACTGCAGAGTAGACAATCTGACAATGCTGAGTGACACTGAGACAATGTCATGTTTGTATGTGTTTTCAGGTGTGTTAGTCTGGACGGAGATCATTTTTAAAAGAAACGTAGTGGTGTGGATGGAGCCTGAATCCTTCTGAATCTGGTGTTCACTTTGAATTTTCCTCTAGCGCCACCACAAGGTCGATTGGTCGGTTGCAGTTTTAGTAAAATGCCTTGACAACAGTTGGATGGATTTGCCATGAAATGTGATGCAGACATTCATGTTCCCCTCAGGATCAATTGTAATAATTTTACTGATTGTCCGACATTTAATCAAAAAAACGTCTGTGAAACTGATGACATCAGCCTCAGCACTACTTAGCAGATATTAGCAAGCAAACGCATTAAACCAAGATGGTGGACATAGTAAACATTACATCTTCTGAACATCAGTATGTTAGCATTATCATAGTGTGTTGATGTTAGCCTTTAGCCGTTAGCCTCATGGCTGTAGAGTCTTATGGCCCTTTTCCTCTGCGCGATACCTCTGCCCAGGTTCCAAGTGAGCCGAGGCGACACCAAAAGGTGATGTGAAAACACCACAGACTACTATGACTGTACAACGCTCATTGGAGCCTATTACAGTCTGTTGTTACTTAGTTATTGTGCTATACTTTTACTATGGCAACCAACACCACCACGCTGTGGTCATATGAGGAGGTGTATACATGTCTCTGTTTATTATCCCTTTGATATCCTCATTGAAGGTGATGTCACACTACCTTCATGTTCATTCGTCGATATAGTAACAACGCTGCATTGAGGGGGGTACTATGTGCAGTGAAAAAGTGGAGTCAAGTTGAGTCAGTACCACGCGGTGACAAAACGCTATTAAGTCTTTTATTTTTTTCGTTTTTATGAAATAATGGTATAAATGTTGGTTTTCAAACACTGGGTTCATTGAATGTAACTTTACCTCAGCCCCCCCCCCCCCCCCCCCCGCCAGCCCCACCCCCCCCCCCCCCCCCCCCCCCCTTGGCTTGTGACGTGGATTTGTCTCTTCAATCATAGTGCACTGGGTTTTCACTGGAACACACCACTTCTTCAGTAGTCTGATGTGTGGTTGGCGACATGAGTTTTGGTTCTGTATCTTGATTCTGAACTTTGTCCCCTCAGCTCTACTTGTTCCACAGTAGGTGACTCATATAGTGACGCTGTGAGACATTGGGTCTTTCCAACATTGACAGTAAATGTTGAACTGAATATGTTTGTAAAGTTGATTTTAAAGGGCAGTTCAGTGAATAATTTTACTAATGAATTAATTTATGACTCACCACGGAAAAGAAAAGTTGTCAAGCTTGCCTGTTGTCATTTTGTGCTAAAGGCGCCTCGTCCCTCTGCTCTGTGGGTGGTTGATGTCAGTTGGTTGAACTGGCTTTTCTGTCTTCACAGGGATTTTTTTTGTGTGGTTTGTGCTAGTCGCCCTTCCTCCTCTCGGTCTCACCCCACCCCTCCTCTATGGCCGCTGTGGTAGAACAGGGACAGGTTTAGGTCGGTTTACATTTCAACTCAAGCTTGACAGTAACCCATCCTAATGCAGACACATCAGCTGGGGAGGGTTTACTGAGGCTGCGAAGACTGGGACAGATTGGGTTGAACAGGAGTGGGATGGTCCCGTCTTTAATGTTTTGTGTTTCTCATATTTCTCATAAGAAGTTATTTTGTGATTGAGTTCAGCCATAATCAAATGTCCAACTCTGACAGTCTCTTCTGGTTTTCTTGTCTTCATCCCTGTTGTGTCAAAAAAGTGTGTTCAGGTGGCTTGTGGGTAAAACACTCCAAAAAATGTGCACAGAGCTTTGTGGAGAAAGTGTCCACCAGCATCAATTATAGCTCAGATAGCTGAGTGTACGTTGTGTATTGTTCTTGCCGAGCAGCACGTACACACAAGGACACACGCTGTACAAACACACACACACACACACACACACACACACACACACACACACACACACACACACACACACACAGAAACTACACACAAGTGAGTGTCCAGCCGTGAGTAAGAGTGTGAGTCAGAGGTCAGACTGGGTGCCAAAACCAGACAAGGTCAAGACTTCTGCTCAGAACAAACCAACAACACATGACAAAAGAGTCTCAGACTGCAGGCAGGCAGGGAGGGAGGGAGGGGGGACGATGCGAGGGAGGAAGGAAAGATAGACAGATGAAGAAAGTGGGAGACAATGGAGAATAAGAAAAGGGAAGGAATGATGGTGGGTGAGGTAGGAATGCGTGAAGAAAAAAAATTGATAAAGGCAGGAAGTGTTGGGAGATGGCAAGAAGAGACATGGGAGAGAAAAACTGGTGGCGGTACAGGAAGTGGGAGGAAAGGAAAAGAAGGATGAAATGATGAAGAAGAGACAAGAGGCAGGGGAGGGAGGTCATCCCAGATCTGTGTGTGTGTGTGTGTGTGTGTGTGTGTGTGTGTGTGTGTCAGTCACAGATTGTTTCTTGTTGTTGGTTGAAAACAGAAACACCACAGTTATTCAGGGTTTCCACAAAGGAACCACTGTACGCTGGGACAGACACCACATTCTCAATCATCAGGCTCACACTCACACATACCACACACACCATACATACACTCAGTATGTGACAGACTGACTGGGAGTCTGACCTGTGCTGCCCCCTGCTGGTGAACACGTGTTAGAACAGGCAGAGTCCTGCTCAGTCCAGGACTCTGTGGCTCCTTCAAAAGTCATGAATCATTGTTTCAAGGTCCGTTTAGTAGCTTTGTCTGGAGCTTTTGATCAGATCATATGGTTTTCATCAGTGGGTGGAGCCCAGTTCAATTCAATTCTTTTTAAATCGGCCTTTTTCACAGGAGGCATTTGGACTTGTGGTGGTGTTACTGATGACGTTGACGTAAGTGTTGTGTTGAAGTGTTGAAGCCGTGACTGAAGAGGACAGACAGACAGACAGTTTGTTTTTTTATTCCATGAAAACCAACAAAGAGGGTAAACAGCAGTCACAGTCTGAAGACCTAATAGGAATTCAGCCATTGTTCATTTTATTAATTACAAGGTTTATTGAAGATTGTTTTGGACCTTTGGATTTTGTGACTGTACACTGGTCAGACAGGAAGTCAGGATGTAAGAAATAAAACAATAATTTATTTGTCTCTTATTGTAGAAAAACTCTCATGCAGTGCTGAATACTCTGCAGGGAAGTATTCAAATGAGATAATTGGAGAATGTAAACATTTGTCGAGGGATCTTGAGTTGATTTCGTTTTGTTTCACAAGCTCAAAAAAGTTAGTATTTACTGACAACTGTCAGCATTTTTTCTTTTATCTAGAACTTTTTGAACAAGCATCAATAATTTTAAATGATTATCAGATTAATCAAGAAAATAATATTCAAATAATCAATAATCATTAGTTGCAGCACTATACTTATACCTGACTTATGATTGTGCAAATGCAATAGGTGATGTTGTTGATGTTTTTTGAAATGTTACATTGTTGTGTTTTGATGTAGGTTATGTTGAACCGACATCTCTTCTAACCCCCCCCCCCCTTTGTGTGTTTGTGCAGCTGAACTGGAGTTTGTTCAGATCGTCATCATTATCGTGGTGATGACAGTGATGGTGGTGGTGATCATCTGCCTGCTCAACCACTACAAGCTCTCTACCTGGTCTTTCATTACACGGCAGAGCCAGGCCCGCAGGCACGACCATGCCCTGCAGCAGGTCAGTATGTGTGTGTGTTTGTGTGTGTGTGTGTGTGTGTGTGTGTGGCTGAAAGTGAATGAGGGGAAAAAAAGGAAACTGTTTGTGTTGGGTTGTATTTCTCTGCTCTGCCGGTGCTGTTCTCTCAGCACCCATGGCAATAACATTTTGATCTAAACTGATGGTGAGTGAAAAACTGTGTGTGTCAGTTCATCTGTTCCCTCCGAATATCGCTGCGTAGTCGCTGTGACTGTGCATCCTTTATTTCTGGAGCAGGACAAACCTAGCTCACCAGTTTGTTCCCAGTGAAGCTGCGCTGAGCGAAATGAATCCTTTTATCCCAGTCACAGTCCCTGTCCCAGTTTCACTGAGGTAACAGCTTTGCTCCAGTCTGTGAGGTGAACTTGCTGAATTGGTTTCTTCAGAGCCAGACTCTGTCAGACCTTGATGTTTAATTCACTACAGCACTGTCTAGACAGCAGCAGCACTGCCCCCATACTGACAGGGCGACACACCGGGACAAACACACACTTACTTACAAAGCAAGATTGCACCCGCTGAAACAGGCTCAGGTACAGAACATGATGCGCAATGATTGGTCTGTTGATATATTCAGCTTCAAGACTCTAGAAAAATAACATCAGCTGGTTTGCCCCATTCCAGATGATTTAAATTCAGCTAATAACCCCTCGTCTACGGTTTTTCATCTCTCCTGTCACTTTCTGCTCTGTACCGTCCAATCAAAGCAGAAATTATTCAAACAGAAGCAGACACCAGAGCCCTTCAGATGAGGGAGTTATGACAGTGAGGGGTCAATTGTCTTCCACGGGGAGCAACAGGATTTTCCACCAAACAACTCATTTCAATGACTAGTACAGCTTCGCAAACTGATTCTGTGTATTGTAAACCAGTGACTGATGTTTGAAATATTAAATACTTAGTACTGAATTATTAACTATGGAAATAAGAGTGAAATATTACTCCATCTTCTGTATCACATCTTACCTTCTATATTAAAATGTATCAGTGCATTACATTAAATGAAGGTAGTTATGCACTAATATGAATGTAGCCAACATAGAAGATTGCCATTCAGTCATGTGCACTGATGTTTAAGCTAGTCTCGTCCATCATAACAAGTAGCATCACAGAAGGATGTCAATCATTAAATAACTTATGTAGTGAGAAATAAACATTATACTGTTAGTTATTGTTAACATGAATTATAATGTCATTTATTAGAGACAGATGAAGCTCTCTCTGAACAGTGGCAAGAAAAAGTATGAACCCTTTGGAATGACCTGGTTTTTCTGCATTAATTGGTCATAAAATGTGATCTGATCTTCATCTAGGGCTATGTAACATACTATTCATACCAAGTATGATGTCATGGTGTGGCAGACTCATGAACAGAGATGTTGATCAGCTCCAATGACTATTTTAAGCCATCAGTTGTTACTATTGGCCTCATTGTTACCTCACCGATCATTCTGTGTTGAGCTTTTAGAGTCATCTTAGCTGGGTGCGCACCTCTAGAGAGAGTAGCCACAGAACTCAATAATCCCACTGATAGACAGTTTGTCTGACTGGACTGATCAATATCTAAACTCTTTGAGATGACCTTGTGACCATTTCAGCTTTATTCAAATCAACAATTTTTGATCTTAAGTCTTCTGAGATCTGTCTTTCGTTTTTATAAGTCAGTGTCTCTAACCCACATCTCCGATCTGGTTTCACTGATAGGCCCCCAGGTTTGATAACTCCTGACTCCAATTAGCTGCAGTTGAAGCCATCAGTCGAGGGGCTCATGTACTTTTTCCAGCCCACACTGAATCTTTGAATGATGTTTTCAATATGAACTAGAACAAAACAATGATTTGTCTTTTCGTTAAGATAGATTGTGTTTGTTCATACTTGTAACTTGGATGAAGACCTGATCGTATGCTCGGACAAATTTCTGCATGGAGGTAATTCTAAAGGGTTCACTTATTAAAAAAACTCTACGTCAGATTCATGAACGTGTTCTTAAACCGCAGAATTGTGCACACCTGTGTTCTTAGATTGATGAATGCCAATCTCCTCTTAATTTGAAAGCGTGTGCCAGTTGGCCCTAATTAGCATAACGCCCGAAAATGCCCTCAAAAGGGAGTGAGACTGAAGGGTCGTGTGCAAACACAGGCAGAAGTCACAAAGAGACACCGTAAGGGAAAGCTGAGGCGGAGCACTAGATTCAAAACACAAAAGGAACTTTAGTAGTTCTGAAGTGGAGGTGCTGCTGCAGGAGGTGAGCCGCAAACGAGCGGTTAAGTGTTAATGTAGTGTTCATTTATTTTAGAAGACCGTAATGCTTTGTAAAATAACAATTTTTTTTAAAAATAAATGACAAAAATATTATTGTAAATAATATAATATTATATAAAACTCAATAACCACTTATCTTGCTCAAACACATCAGCACTCAAATGTGCGTAAGAGGTGCTCTTGAGTGTGTGTAGATTCTCTTCTTACCTATGAACAAATCCAGAACACACATCCAGTAATTGATTACATATCTATTAATATGTGTGTATTACGTATATGTGTATTAACCCTGCAGGTGAAGTGTCTCATACTCAAGTGTGAAGTGTCAAATACTCTCATACTGATAGTGGAACAATTTACAAACAACGTTCGGTGGTGACGGTCAAATAGCATCTCTGTTAGCTAAGGACACAACTGAAAGCAAAGACAAATATATGTTATGTTCATATAATAGAGTCTAAGACTGGGTCTGGTGAAATAAAGATTAAATACCTAAAAAGAACCATATTCTCCATACTGTGACCGATGCCTTTGCCCCTAACAGACACATAAATAACCAGGATTTATACACGTTTGTCCTCCTCAGGTTTTTTTTTCTTTCTTTCTTTTTCATTAAATATTGATGACTGTGCCGACTGAGAAAAGATCCTCAAGTTAAATGTAGATGAAGGGAAACCAGAAATTATTTGCAATGATCTTGCCTGAGGAGGGGAGCCATCTGCCTTCTGTTGTCCTTGCTGTCACACTGGGCGGCCGTCAGGCGTCTCAGCATTGCTGATTCATCTTTTGTGTTCTCCTTCAGTTGTTACATTTCGGCTGTTGTTGTTGTTGCTGTTGTTGTTGTTTCTCATTCACTTAGTGTTAAGGAAGAAGGTTTGTATTGTCAGTGTAATGGTCTCCATCCCAGACATAACAACAAAGCTGTAATGTTGAATTCTAAAGCTTGATCAGTAGCAGCCAATCGAACATGCATTAAACATATTGTCAAATATATGTTAAACCTTCAAAAAGACCATTTTGTCATCATTAGAAAATAAAGATACATTAAACGTACTTGTCAGTAACATGAATACGTGAAAATCCCACTGTAGCTCAAACATAAACTTGTTTACGAGCGTCAGACAGGTGTAGGAAAATCTTCACACCACCCCGGAACTTCACAACTTTGAAATCTAAGCCTTTCTCTTTGTTTTGTCTGTCTCGATGTTTAGGATGGGTGTCTGTGGCCTTCAGACAGCAGCTCGAGACAAGGTGCCTCGGAGGTAAGACCACCATCACTCTGAGCTCTATTCAACCCACAGCCAGGCTTTAATCACACAGAATGGCAGTCCAGGCTGGGCTGTGGCTGTGTTCGATGTTTACAGCCGCGGCGACTCTGAGCACCCTGAACTGTTGCTCTCAAAAATGTTTTTAGATAGATTTTTATTTATAGCACCATGACAGCTGTCTAAAAATGTTCTTTACAACACCAACCTGTCTCAAGAAGTTTCAAGTGTTGAGTGGGGCTGATATGATCTACAATTTGTAGTATAAGTTGACACATTTGCTGCTTCTCAATAATGATAGATGTTGCAGTAAGTATATATTTAATACATAAGCACATGATATTTCTTTTTCAGTGCTGCGCACTTTGTATTTTACCAGAATAATTACAGGACTAAAGTTTTAGCACTTCAGGATTGGACTTCAGGTTGATTGATTATTAACAATCATCCCACGTATGTTTTGTCAAATGGTTTAACACACACTTTCACACTTTGTCATTTGTTGATACAGCTCAGAGAGAAATTGGTAGCACATGATTTGAAGCAAGTGAATGCAAATAAGGAAGAATTGTTCTCATGTAAGAACGATATCACATAGAGTCGTGAACAAGATTTTACAATGAGTAATCTTTCAGTTCTAGTGGAACAAATGGTTTGATGTCATGTCTTGCTATTTCCAGTTTTAATTATATGAAATTCAAACTGTTATTTACAGCGACAACAGTAAATTCAGGTCGTAAGAGATTCACAATGCCGGTAATAATAAACTGGTTCTTAATTGTAACTGGTTCTATTGGTTTTAGTCCTCCAACCTGAACAAACATACAGGTCGGGTTTTTTTTTTTTTTTTTCAACCCTCTGATACGACCCATAGGAGTGTCTCCTGAAATAGCGCCCCCACGGCCGCAGACGTACCAGACATTGGTTGTCGTGGTGACAATAATGAACATGTGAACTCTACAGAGAGCAATGTACCAACCTCCATCACCATGGTTACTATAACTGTGGTCATGGCTTGGTTAGGTGTAGGAAAAGGGGTTAAATGAAGTACTTTCTCAGTACAATGATACACGTAACTCTGTCGAACGTTCGTGGATAATAGAAACAACATCAACAGCTGCTTTTACATGGGAATCAAATACCGCTCTCCTGTGTCATATGCATCCATCCACCTCAACCTCCTCCTGATGTGGACTTTTTCTCTCTTTATACTACGTCACTGCACTTTTCCCTTTGCTCCTGTCATCATTACTACGACCGCTAGATGTCGCCTAGCAACAAAACGGAACAATGAGTCGTAATAACCTGCTGCACAGACGACCTGTGGGCTTGTTTTGTACAGAAGGACAGTCTGGTAAATTTAGGTCCTAAGAGATTCACAATGCTGGTAATAATTTAAGTGGTTTCTTTGCATTGGGCATCGAGAACTGGTTCCTAAACATAACTGATTCCAAAATGTTTCCTTTGAAGAAGAGTCAACTGTAATCTGTTAACTGAGGCTGGTTTCAGGGAAATAGTTGTGTAGCCTTGGAATAACTTCCATAAACAAATTATAGTAAGGACAGGATTATTTGATTACCTGTGCTTTATGCTAATAATGTTGTTTGCATTGTTAGTGACGTTTCACATAACCCGGTAGTACCACTAACACATGGATTTTCTCCCATGTGCTGTTACCTCTATGACTTCACTGAAAAGGTTTAACATGTAGGAATTAACATGTAGAAAAACCTCCCGGCCATTTGTGCCGAGAGAGGAGCTCCTCCTCCTCCTCCCTGCTCTGTGCCGTAAAACAAACTCTCTGTGCCGTAAAGAAATCTACAACGGAGTGTTGGGGCCACATTGAAGGGAAAAAAAGAAATCAGAAATTTTTAGAATAAAGTCGTAATTTTACTAGAAAAAAGTCACACAAAACAGTTTAGGAATATTACAATCAACCAATCAAACAGGTGAAAGGACACTTCTGGCAGCTGCTGTTTGTCAGTCTAACAATAGAATAGACTCAGTTTGTTCACAATCTTTTAATGTTCTGATGATGATGATGATGATGAGCAAAAAGACCTCTGCTAAAGTAGAACTTCACAGGACGCTCCATGTTCCTCATTTTAAAGCTTCTGATGTTTCCCTCTAAAACGACACACAACCTATAATTACAACTTGATTCCTTTTAATATTATGACTTTTTCCTTTAAATATTATTATTTTATTCTCAAATTTACGACTTTATGCTTGTAATTTCAGATTGCTTTCTTCCTCAATGTGACCCTAATACTCGGTTGTAGAAATCCAGTGGAATTTCTGTCGAATTTGGTTTCAGTGGCCTAATCGCTTCTGTGTAGTACAAATGCCTCAAATTATACAGGTTGTGGAAATCACTTAGAGATGATAATGTTGCTACAAGTAGCAACATTCAGAGACAGTTTTGATAATATAGGCTGTAAAGATGGCAACTAACTGAGCAAAAGAAGATCTGAATCCACTCAATGATCTCCTTTGTCTAATGTACTTGCTCTGTGCTAAAAGAAATCTCTGTCTCTTCTCAGCTCTTCTTTGTTTCTTAGTCAGCGTATTTCCTCCGAGCTCAGCCTGGTGCAGTCACTCTGTGGTGACAGGAAAACTCTTAGGGCACAAAGATCTTGGACGTTTGACTGTCTGTAAATATTTGATCATCCAGGAACTGAAGCTTGTATGTTGCACCGGGTACAGCTGGCAATATACTCCAAACAAGATCACAGTTTGGCAAGACTCATGAATACATAACTGCAAACAAATGCCAGTACACTCGCTCTGACTGGTGATCTGTTTGCTTAATGGTGTCCATGCCAGATGGTGGAGCTTACAAGTCACGGTGGGAAGAGATGCCCTGGGAAAACAGGGGATACAGAGTTCAAAGAAGGCTTGAAAACAAACCGGTCACATGATAAGATAGAGACAATTGTATATTGAGGCTGTGTGAGAAGTTTGGCTCCAAAAAGGGGCATGTTTGCACCAAAACAAACTCACCAAATTCTCTCTCATGCGGAGTATCCTGTGTAAACAAAACTAAAAGGAGATGAAAAAGGGATGTGAGGGGTGGATAGAGAGAGAAAAACATAGAAGGCAGGTAAAATGAGTCAGAGAGGAAGAAGAGGTGCAGTCGGATGAAGGGAGGTAAAAAAAAAAAAACAAAAACAAAAAAAAAAAAAGAAAAACACTGTCAATGTTAAAGCACCCAGAGAGACCTGGGAAAAAAGGAAAAGGCCATGGGGAGACAAACACAGAGGGAGAAGCAGCCAATGAGTGTGGGTGGCTGATAGATGCAGTGATGGGGGCTGTGTGTGTGTGTGTGGCGGGGGGGGGGGGGGGGGGGGGGGTGGGGGGGGGGGGGGGGGGGGGGGGGGACGGATTTTGGTGCATCATTAATCAGCAACGCCTCCCCTGACACTGTCTAGACAGCCGTCTGAGAGCTGCCCTGCTCTGCTGCGCTCTGTTCCCTCTGTCAGCTCTGCACCTTTCTCTCCCCCTCCCTCTCTATTTGTCTGGCTCTATACGTTTTCTTTTTTCCTCTCTCTCTCTCTCTCTCTCTCTCTCTCTCCTCTGTTTCTTTTTGTCTTTATCTCTCGAGCTCTCCTTTACTCTCCTTCCTCTCTTTATCTCCGTGGCTCTTTCTTCTCCTCACCTTTCTCTTCTCTGTCTTTCCCTCTCCTTATCTCAGTCGTCTGTCTTTTTAATCCTTTCAGTTCCACTCTTTCTCTTTCTGTCTCTCAATTTCAATTGCCTGATCCTCTGTCCCCCCCCCCAGGTTTTTTTCCAGTCTGATGGTCTCTCCATCCCGACTGCCTTGTCAGTGGAGGTGACTATTGGAGCCACAGTCACTAATTGAAATGGATTCCCTCTGATAGTGACTCGCCACAGTAGAAATGTGTTGAAATGTGAGAAATTAAGAAATGGATGATGCAGTCACTGTCTGAAGAGCTAATTGAAGTGAAAGCTGGTGTATGAACCAGTGTGTTGAGTGTGTTAGCAGGCACTTTGGATCTTTTCTCCTTTTTACTGTAATTACATTGTAATGTCTGCTATGGAGCTATTCATTTGTTTTTGCTACAGAGCTAGCATTAGCATTAACAGCTGTTTACTTACCAGTCTTGCCAAGAGCTTCAGCCTGCATTGTGGTGCTACTTCTTCAGAGCAGCCTAGATGCTACAGCAACTCAGTGTTAGACAGTGACAAGAAGGGCTAACAGAGCCAGAGCTAACCGGTTATCATGCTAACTTCAGTAGAAGAAAAGAAGTGATAGAAATAGAAGCAAAATTAGGGTTTGCTTTCCACCTCCAGAGATAGCTGAACTTACAATGTTTCCTTTAGACTGGTAAGAAAACAGCTGCTAATGCTATTGTTAGCTATGTAGCAATAGCAAAACTTAGCAATAGCTCCTTTAATAGCTGATTGGAGACACATTGGTGGGTCCTGGTGCAGCATCATCATTCATTGGATTCTGAATGTTTGAAAAAACAAGATAAAACATGACAAAAACTTCAAAATGTGTATATACACTCTATCTATCTATCTATCTATCTATCTATCTATCTATCTATCTATCTATCTATCTATCTATCTATCTATCTATCTATCTATCTATCTATCTATCTATCTATCTATCTATCTATAGTGTATATAATATATATATAATATAATAGGCGGCCGTCCTATCTGGACCCAGAGCATATAAATTATTGAAAATTATAAAATTTTGAAGGAGCGTTTCTATTTTAACCTGCACAGCTGGGCCAGAGAGTGGGATACCCACAGAGTCAGAGAAATTCGTGGGTGGATGGATTGTAAGAGGGAAAGAAAGACAAAAGGAGGTGTTGAAGCTGTTCAGTGTGTTGAGATTGTGTATTATGCAAATTATAAAAACTTATAGAGTTCACAGGAATAGAGTTCACAAAAAATTCAAGCCACATTTTGTATTACGTTTTTCTAAAATCAATCACTTTATTTTAATGCTCATGCTCATTCTTAAAAAGCTTAGTTATTATTATTAATTAAGTTTATATTGATAATATATTTAGATATAATAATTAATATCTATAATCGTTATATATCACTTTTCTTTTTTTTTCTGACTTTTCTCAAAGCTTCGTCTTTTTTCTTATACACTTCTGGTGACTTTTATCTCTCTGTTATACTTTCATCTCTTCAGGACTCAAAAGATGAGTAAATACAAACTGTTCAAATGAAATGATGTGAGAGGGAACATCAGTGTTTGGCTGCTCACAGCTGATAGTCATGTGTGAAGATGTGAGAGTGATACATTGATTTACTATATAGTGTCTTAACAAACCAGAGCAGGGTCAGTACAACTCAATTAAATTTTCTCTCATCCTCCCTTTTTCCCTCCCTCTGTCCCTCTCTCCTCTTTTACCCTCACTCCTTTTTACCCTTCTTCCTTACCCTCTCTCCATCCTTCTCTGTCGTTCTCAGGTATTATACGCTCCCCAGGCCAGGGATCGCTTCACTGCACCCTCCTTCATGCAGCGTGACCGCTTCAGCCGCTTCCAGCCCACCTATCCCTACCTGCAGCACCAGATTGACCTGCCGCCCACCATATCGCTGTCGGATGGCGAGGAGCCCCCGCCATATCAGGGGCCCTGCACCCTGCAGCTCCGCGACCCCGAGCAGCAGATGGAGCTCAACCGTGAGTCGGTGAGGGCGCCACCCAACCGGACCATCTACGACAGTGACTTGATCGACATGGGAGGAGGTGGGAGTCTGGGAGGAGTGGGGGGAGGAGGTGGAGGCATGGGAGTAGGCGGTCCGAGGCCGCCTAGCAGTAACTCGGGCATCAGCGCGGCCAACTCCAGTAACCACGGGCGCATGGAGGGCCCCCCACCGGCGTACAGCGAGGTGATGGGCCACTACCCCGGCTCTGCGTTCTTTCTACACCAGCACAGCAATAACCAGAGGGTGGGGGGTTCGGGGGGGCCGGGGAGCAGGACGATCCAGCAGCAGAGCCAATCAGAAAGCACAATAGTACCTACCAAGGCCAAGGAAGGCCAGCCGGAGGACCTGGTGTGAAGAAAAGGCCAGCAAGGCAGGTGGGGGCCACCCACCCCAGACTGAAACTCTTCTCTTCATCCTAATCACCTGTAAGCAGTGGTCTTGCTCACTCTCTCTCTGTCTCTCTGATGTCCTCTTTCCAGACTCTCATGCACAAATAAATATCAACCTTAGCTACAAAAAACAAGGAAAGAGAGGAACCAAGAGTTGATTTCATTTCAGTTTCTTTCCCATGTTAGTAACTCAAACAGCTAGCGCTGCTGCGGCAGGATGTATGCACTGCGAGGAGACTTTTTTTCTCTCCATCATATGAGAAAGAAACATACTGCTAGCACAGATTGAAACCATTTGTTTTTTGTCCCCTCGGGTGATGGCTGCGGGAACTGAGGATGATGTTTTATGTTTTGATTTTTTTTTTTTTTTTTCTCCTTCTTTTTGGACCGGGATCTGTGCACAAAGCAAGAACTGAGCTGAGAATCAAGGACTTACAGAGAACACAATACAACAAGAGACTCACAAACCCAAATCTTAGTGCCAAGGTTCATGAGGAAGCAAAACAAAGGGGGGAAATGACTCATTCTGACATTGAAAACACAAAAAAGAAAAGTTGCACTATCTTTTTGCTGTAAAAGAGAAGAGGGAAACGATGCTATGTGATGATAATAGTGATGATGTTTTTGTTTTGTTTTTTATTTCTTGTTTCGTTTGTTTGGTTTTTTTTTTTTTTTTTTTTTTTTTTTTTTTTTTTTTTTTGTCCTTTTCATGAATGGACTGACTTTGGCTCCAAAGTTGTTAAAACAGTTGGGAGCAAAAAAAAAAGAAAAAAAAAAAAGAAAAAAAAACCAACAACAAGTATTAAAAGCTTATGTCCTTCCTTCCTTTTTTGAAAACCACAAGAAATACTTGTACCCAGCCTACGACATCTCTGTCTGCATACACCACAGGCACAGTGAGACTTAGTAAGAGAATAACCTTGTACTGCTTCACGTCTGAGTACACTTCAGCCTAGTGGGGATGAAATCTGCCTTGTAACCAGCCATTGGGTGGACGAAACATTTCTTACTTCCTCTGGTAGTTTGTTACAAGATTTTGGAGATGGGTTTTCCCAAGCCGGAGTAAACTCTTAGAAAGATGAGAGCTGCTAGGCGAGACCCAACTTGCTCCGTACCAACAATTCTGGGAAATCTGGCCACAGCTGGTTGGATATCAAGTTAACCAAAAATAGCATAACTCAATAACAAAATCAAAAAACATATCTAAGTGTCCATCCAGCAGCCTGGTCACAGCAGATTCTTTTCTCAACCCTGTCCTCTTGAGCACTTGACACTTCCTCTTTCCTGTTTCGTGCATCGATAACCCTCCTCCCCTCCACCTCCTCTCACCGCTCATCTCGACATGCACAGTGCATTCTGCCAACAGCCACACTGAACTTGAACCCTGCCGCCATGACAAAAAGAACACAAAACTACAACAACAACAACAACAACAACAGAAAAGAAGGCTCATCTCTCCGTCTTCGTGTCTCTAAAGCTAAAAAGAAAAAAAAACAAAAAAACAAACAAACAAAAAAAACCAAGACATCACAAAGTGAAGATTCCTGTCTGCATCCGCCAGCACAGCAATCAGGTTTTAAACGAAAATTGTCTGTGGTCAAAGTCCAAGGGCTATGGGAGGGTCCTTTTTGTAAAAGAAAAAAACCTTTTTGAAAATCTAGCCTTTTTCTCTGCTCATCGTTGCCTTCTCCTCTGCTCTTGCGCTTTCTCTGTCTCTCTATCTTGTTTGCGGTTAAGCCCCCCCCCCCCCCCCCCCCCCCCCCAACAACAACAAAAAAAAAACTCCATCCCAGCTTTCTAACGGTGTCTCTGGTAAACACTGTTCATCGTCCCTCCTTTCATCTGTGTGCAGAAAAAGTGCGTGCAAATGATGCAGAGTCCGCCAAGCCCTTTAAAGTGGAGACTGGAGTGGAGACCTTGTTTGGCAGTGTGCTAGTGCTGTCTTCTCCTCCCTGTGTGTGTGTGTGTGTGTGTGTGTGTGTGTGTGTGTGTGTGTGTGTGTGCGTGCATGTGTGTGTTTGTTGGTCAGACCTTTCAACAACACAGAAAAGCACTTAATGTTCCTGCAGGAGCATTGTGTGTGTGTGTGTGTGTGTGTGTGTGTGTGTGTGTGTGTGTGTGTGTGTGCGTGCGCGTACAGCTGAGTGATTTATTAGTGAACTTTGTCTGAGTTTTAGAGATTCAAGGACGTTACTTATTTGCCACTGTCCATATTACCACATTATTAATTAAGCTTGCATTGGAATTCAGTGGAGTGTCTCTTTAAAAAAAAACGTCAGAGATGTATGATGGTCATTATCGTGGTGTAGAAGCGACCTCAGTGTAAAAGCTCAGAGAGAGGGCACCCACAAGTTCCATTAAAGGTGCACAAGGCTTGATAATAATCTGGACTGAGTCTCAATTTCATACTCCAGGTGTTGAGTCTGGTTTTCAGTATCTAGCGTGCAAACTCTTTTCTTATGGTCAACAAATCCCATGGAGAGACAAACCTACATGTCAGTACGTTGTGACTTCCCCGTCCTGTCCTCAAGCCCATCGCTCCTCACTTACTAACTGACTAACGCTGGTCTGTGGTGTTGGACTTGAGAGATTCACATCCGATGACAAACGCCATCTTCAACAGACGGTTCCATCATAACCACTGAGCTAGACTGCTGGACAACTGAGCAAAGTCCATCTGAAGTGAAAGGTGATGGGAAGCTCCTCCAGTAAAAGGTGGAGTTTCTGTTTTTTTTTTTTTTTTAAGGCTCACCAACACTGAGTTTCATTATTTAAAAAGGCCCAGGGATTTCATGAAACAACTGAACAAATGTTTCTCAAGAGTGTATGTCGGGGCATCATTGTCAGCGGAGGTTTAATACACATTTGCTGCTCTAGCAGTGGCTCCCAGCCTGTGCGCCGACAAATCATCTCCAAAACACAACAATTTTGGTGAAAAGATGTAATTATATAAATTGTTTTTTTAAAAAAAAAAAACAAACAAAATGATCTTTAAAAAGATTACAAATGTTTAAAAACTCCTTTTCATTTTTGGTTTTCCTTTTCTTGTATAAAGGCCTGTCACTGTGATGAGCTAATGATGGTAGCTTTCATGTTGTCGCCGGCCGGACCACTTTGTTATATTATATACATATTTGCTATCTCAGTCTGATTGAGCTAAAAAAAAAAAAAAAAAAAAAAAATTACATCCACGGCAAAAACTGTAGACTCAAAATGGATAGCTGGTTAGAAACAGGAAGAATGAAAAGGAAAGAGAGTCAGAGACAGATGGTGAATCGACATGTGATCTCTCCACCGTCTTTGAGCTTCTGAACGTGTTATTCGGCCTCCATATTGTTAACGGGCTTTTGAGGTTTTGAAGTGGGCCATGAGTTGGAGAAGGTTGGCAACAGCTGATCTTGTGAGACTTTGAGTTCAAGTCAAAGTAAACTGTAGTGTCTGTTCATCCTAATGAACGTGTTCCCCGGTGAAAAGCTCACTGGAGCTCTACGGCTCAGAGGGATGAGATACACACACAGTACTTGTTGATAGGATCAACACACTGTTGGTTTGTCTCTTTTTAATGGAATTTACTGACAATTAGAAAAACACAGAGTATCACCAGACTTGCTCTTTAATTGGTAGCGTTATTCCAAAGTCGCAGATCGATCCGTCAGCACACGAGAAAGTGAGAAAGTGCATTGATCTGTTGTATACGACCTAAAGAGACAGTGCACTATGTGTGCAGTTGGAACACAGCGACTGTTTACACTCAGATGAAATGACTTGTGATTTGTAGGGAAGTATTTGAAGGTATGTAACGCTGAATTCCAGTTGGTGAAGAAAGAACTAGCATCCCCACCCCACCCCCCTTCTCGTGCACTTAGAGCGCACATCTGATCTGACGCTCTGCAGACGTCATGACGATGGGAGAAAAAAAATATTCCTGGTCAGTTTGAATGAAAGCCCTCTGATTCTGTTACCATCAGTGTGTGTTTGAATGTATGCATGTGTGTTTTCTGGTTAGTGTGTCTATCTGGCTCTACAGTTGTGCGTGTATGTGTGTGTGTTAATACATCACTGCTGCTATTGCTGTTGCTGCTACTGCTACTATTGTTGCTACTGCTGCTTCTCATGTCCCCCCCCCACCCCGGTCCCCCCCCTGTCCTTCTGTCCGTCCTGTTCCCTCAACTCATCCATAACTAGAAGGAGAGAAATCTGACCCTCTGCAGTCAAAAGCACAAGTATTGAGACAAAAGCTGGTCTTGTTTACTCAAAGACCCAAACTGAAACATTTTCATTTTCTTACACAGAGAAGTCTGGGTGAAGAGATTGTCCCAACACTTTGGCCTTTGAGCTGTACGGACCTGCTTCAAACCCTTTTTCTTCCTTCTTTCTGTTGTTTTCTCAGCTTGTTCTGTCTGCGCAGTCATAGCTTGTAAATGGAGGCTATAAAGATGAATTTTATGTTTTATACAAGGAGGTTTGCATGTTACTATTATGTGAGTAAATAAGGTGCCTAATGTTCATGTTTGAGCAGACCACACCTCGGTCAAACTGCTGCTTGGAATCCTTACATGTGCTTTGTCTGCGGGTCGACCTCCTGTCTGGCAGAGTGGAACAGAAATGTTTGGTCAGGATTGCCAAAAAATGATCATGTTACAGTGCTGCCGTGATTTCGGGAGCCTGGAGTGGTTGTCCAACATTTCCTCTTTAGGTCTTGAGCTTTGATTACAGACTGAATCTGATCCTGCATATTTTAATTCAAGGTCTAACAAGAAACTATAAATTTAGTGACCATGGCGCCCGCAGCGTTTCTGTTTCCATGTCAACAAAACAACCTGCAGCGTATAACCAACATTTTTAGCTCTGCGTGACGGCAGTGTTTACAAGCTCGCTTCCATTGTGCCAGACAGGATCGGTTTCTCCTGGCAAAGCCACTTGCAGCCGTTTCAACCAGTAATTTGTCCCACATGTGTGGAGCAG